GGGGGGGGGGGGGGGGGGGTCTGTTACGACTCGTCTTGCTTGTTGCATTCGAGTGGGACTACGCAAGGCGACTTGGACTAGCAGCTCGGACAGGCGTCAACCATCCTCCAACGTGTTTCGGAAAGAAACGGAAAGAAGCGGCCGGCACCCGTACCGCGACATGGACGTCACGCAACACGACACAAGCATGAGCAACGCTCATTGACTTATCCCAACCCTGCACCTGGTACAGGAACACCGAGCTGGTAGCTGAATGTCTGGCTTTGGAAGATGCACCAGCACAGAAACTTGAGTCAATAAACGAACCTTCCTTGGGGAACACTTCAAAATACAAAATACGGCAGTTCTATCAATTCTCTCCTCCGGCGGCCGCTCAACCATGACTTTTACACAGCAACTACACAAGAGGCACCGTCCCCTACAACCACACTCCTCTTCGAAAATACGTCTACGAACTACCACAAACACTCTTTTTGTGAGGGCGTGAGACCCCCAACGATACACCAACCGATGACATATTTAGCATTTTTCCTTATGTCTCTCTCTCTCTCTCTTGCCTGCAAAACACCTCCGGACAGCTCCGAGTTGGAGGAGCACTCCGCCACGAATGCTCCGAGGTCAGCGTAAGCGAACTCCATCACGTCTTCCGTTCCCGCCACGTCCCCCAGGCCCCCATCCTCGGGGCCCACCTCCTGTTTCTCCTCCAAACCGTCTTTGGGCTTTGCCTGATGCGCTTCGGTAGGCGAAGCCGGAAAGCCTGGGATGGGCAGGTCGGCCAGGCTAACCACCTCTACGAGGGCCAAGTCTGACGGACGTAGCACGGCAATCTCATCGGCCGACAGCGCCCCGGACGCCTGTATTTTGTTTAGTGAGACCGGTGGGGGGGGGGTCGTGCAGCACGGCGGTTTTAGTTGGGGCGTCGAGAACCTCGCAGCCAGTGGTGGCACACGGTGGCACAGCAAGCCTCAAGGCAAGACAAAGGTCTGTGGCCAGGCCCCGACCAGCACGAAAGAGAAAAACACCTCCTCGCGTCGGCCCTAAATCATCCCCCGCCCCAACAGTGCCAAGGAAGCCCTTCCCTATGCATACCAAACCCGTGTTTGTTCTGAATTATGATCCCTTCACCTTCTCACGAACGAACAGCTTCCCGCCCGCCAACGCAAGCCAGACCGGACGAACCGCAGTAGGTCCCGCCGCACCGCCGCCCCCCGTGGTGGCCCCACCCCCCCGGGAAGCTCTCGAGTCCCGCCTGCCCCCCCTGTTTTCGTTGAAATTTTGCACAGCAGCTGCCGAGGCTTCTCGCGCCTCGTCCCACACGGGGGGATTCAACGCCCGCGGCTGGTGCCAAGATGAGAGGAGACATAACCGTATCCAAGGCAAGCGTAATGGTGCAAAACAGCAGGCATATGTGTACAGGCTTAGCGATACGAATGATTGTCAACGAGCATGAAGGTTGAGGGGTACCTTGGCGCACGCTCGGCCACGAAACTTAAGAGGCTACAGCACCACGCGAAGCACAGCTCAGACCATGCGAGCCAGGACATCGGCTCGATTGCCCAGGGTCCGACAGCATCTTTTCTGGGACGGGTGGGTCAACCAGCGGACCCCTGGGTAAACATGGGTGCGATAGGTTTTCGAAAACTTCCCAAAGATTCAACGATAAAAAAACGCTGAATGTCTTGTAGGAACATGACACACCAACGAGAAAGCGAGAAAAACCACGCGTTTCGCACTAACCGAGTCCGGTTCGATGGTTTCCCCCGTGGTCGGGTCGAGTATCTCGATGAACTCCTCTCCGTCGAGTTGGGCGTTCTCGTAGCTTAACAGGCTTCCGTAGTCAGAGTCATCCACACTCTTCAGTGGCACCCACCCCACGATGTTCAGAGTCTTGGACGGGGGAGCGAAAGTAGTTTGCACAAAAAACATACGGGATGGATGGAGACGGCGTTGAGAAACGGCAGAGATTCACGCCTTCCGAATGCTACGTACTTTTGCAGGGGGAGAGCAATGGTGGGGCGGGGTGGATAGATAGCGCCCGTCAAATCATGCAACAACAAAGAGATTAGGAACTTCCACCTGTATGAGACAAACCAGAAGCCGGTATGCTTCAAAGAGCGCGCGATGCCAGGCGTACCACTCCCTCAATCCCTCTGTGCGTTAACGCAGACCGGCAAGAGAGGCCACTGCTGAGGACAAAATGCATTGCGTCCCCCCCCCCCATGCGCGACCCTCATAGGGAACTAATTGTTCAGGCAGCCACCACATCAGCCGAGCCACGCGCACCCATTCATCTTGCTGCCGGCCGAGAGAGTGGGGTACTAGCTCTTCCCTGCCGCTGCTCCACTGCACGCATTTTGTTTCGAATCCATTCAAACCAGCAAGCACGCAAGCACGCACCTGGGTCGACACCGCGCGAGTGGTCACCCGGACCCTGTACCACCGGAAGCCGTGCACGACCTTGCAGTCGAGGATGTACCCCTCGTCGTCCTCCTCCATCGCTTCCCCGCCCTCGCCGAAAGCATTACCCTCTTCGGGGTAACCGGACTCAGGAACCTGCGACACGACACGCGAAACCCAAGTCGAAGGTGTGAGGGGATTTGCACGAGCGGTGCGCACCGGCTGAAGAAAACGAATCTATGCATCGACACACCTGCCCCGTCCTCCCTTCTCCCTTTCTCGCCAAGACGCGAAAGCAACGCCCGCCGTTCAAGCGGCTGCCGCAAGCATGCATCTGTACGTTCACTGCAGCACACTCACCTCGCGAAGCACATCCCTGAATTCCAGCGCCCTAAATCTCAGCAGCCCGTTCCCCCTCGCGCCGCCACCGTCGCCACCGCCGCCGCCGCCCCCGTCCCCACTGCTACCCCCGCCGAGTCCCACCGCGAGGGATCCAACCGTCCCTGCTCCGACCGCCATCGCAACCCCGATCCTAGCGCCGCTCTCCCTCGCCCTCGTGGTTCCCATAGCACCGAGGATCGCGTCTATCGTTCGCGGGGGAGACGAGGAGCGGGACCTAGTCCGGCTGTCGGGGGGCGTCCTCGCCGCGCTTCCCGTCGGCGGGACGGTCATCGGAGACTGGCCGTTCGCCGGCACTTGCCGGACCGGCGACGGCACCCGGTGCAGCCGCACGCCGCCGCCGCTGCCGCTGCCGCCCAAGCGCTGTCGCTCAGGCGGTGATTGAGCGGCGCCCGCCCCCCGAGGGGCAGGTGAAGCCACCCCCACCCCCCCTGTCGCTGCCGCGGGCAGCGGCGGAGGGGTTGCGGAGCCTCTTCGTGAAGAGGGCACAGGGGGCTGCGGGGGTGTAGCTCTTGGGAGGGGGATTGCGGCGGGATCCGGGGAGAAGGTGAAGGATGAATCCGAGGAGGACGAAGAGGGGGAAGAGGAAGAGGACGAGGAAGAGGAAGGCATGGAGGACGAGGACGAGGAAGGCATGGAGGGCCGGGTCACCATGGAACTCAGTCCGAACCTGTGTGGGTTTGAGGTGGGTTAGACTTGGAGTGGGGTCTGGGTTGCATTTTCAACCCACGGTCAACGACACAGATGCACGAAAAACACACGGGGCAGTCCAAGAGCGTGCCCAAGGACGACGACACAGGGAGATAAACGGGTGCTCACAACCGCCACAAGCACAGTGACGATAGTACCTAACAGTATCGTTTGAACGTGACCACGCTGTTGATTGCATTGTAAGGTCGACTCCTATCGGCGGCAAGGAACGAACGAAGAGGAACCCGCAGAAGCACCGTGTAGGTGCCTTCCCCTGCTGGCTCACTGACCATGAACGGTTCAATCAGAGGACCAAGCTCCCCTGCGTCTTACAGAGCACGCGATAATACCGTCTACTGCTGCAGTCCTTGCCACAACGTTCTCCTGGTGACTCTACACTTCGCGGTGCGTGTCTCCACCCAGGCTGCCGCATTGAGTGACACCGCATACAGAAGTTAGGAGACTCGCAGGCCCCCTACGGCATCAACTTCAAGCACACGCCTTCATTCAGCGCAGCGGGCAACGATTCTCACCCGGATATGCCGTCAACCTCCAAGTTAGCAGTCTGTCGAAAACAAGAACAGGCGCAGAAGAACAAGGGAGAGCGCGACGGTGTTCAGGAAAAGGTTGGGAGTGGGGTTTAAAAGGGACAGGACGAAATCGAAGATACGGGGAAGATGTGTGAGGGGCGTCTCGGGTGCTCAGTGGCTGCTTTCATATTGAAGCTTGCACCCGAGCAGGCTGCTTCCTATAAAACTTTCATCGCATGGCATCGTCGCAAAGACATGTTGGGCGGCGAACATTACGCCCAGAAAAAAGCTCACACGGATCAGAAGAACGCTGGTGCTTTCCAGAGGACGATACATCCGCCTGAACTCGGCAGCTTGGACACCGTAAGACCGTTTTTTACCATCAGGTGCCAAGATATTCACGTAAAAAAATTGAAAACAAAGTCGTATTGGGTCCAACACGGGTGCCGCCATACGAAGTTATACGAAGTTCTTCCTGACCTGCCCCAATAGTCCCTCAGGCTCATAGCGATCGGCTTGTGCCGCCCCGTCGTACACCCTAACCACGCGGATAATCTCTCCCAACTCACATTGAAGCTAATGGGCTCGAAAAATTCCTCAAAGCCTTCCATGGCGTCGTTTAGACGATCAGGCTCGCCGTCATCGCTGTCACTCATCCCCAATCCCAGTCCCCCTCCGATGTTTAGCCCCGTGCCCATCAAGGAGCGCCTCCGTTGAGCGGCAGCCTCCGACATGACGACGCCACCATTGCCACCGCTCTGGCGATGTCGTGCGTTGAGTACATTGGCCTACAAACAACCAAGCGTGGCGTTTGAGAGGCGGGGGGGGGTCCAGGGGGCACGTCGGGTACGGTAGTGTTCCACAAAAGCTAAACATGTGCCGGAAGGCGACAGCCACGACCCGAACACGCAGGTCTCACGCGTGTCACCAGACAACATTCGAAGAACAGCTCGTGCCGCCATGCGATCGCCGGGGCCAACGCCACCTCATGGGCGAGTAGCAGCCTGGTCACGTCATGTCCATCGCCGTCTGTGTGCGTGACATCCTTGAGGACACCGACCATCACGCTCTTGCCATGCTAGGCGGCCTTGACATTTGCTGTAAGGCTCTCTGGTTGTGAAAACAGCATAAACAACTCTACAACTCCCGACTCAATCGCGAGGATAGGATGAAACCCCAACGTCTGAGCAGTCTTGGTGCCAAAATGGTTCTATACCTCGTCTGTGAAACGACGAATTAGTACCGACAGTCTCGCCTTCACACGTACGTTGCTCTGTCGCGCACTACATATTCTTTCCACGGACGGCCTTGCACACGCTCAACCTCGGACTATCCCCTACGACGGCACGCACTCACTGCAATCTCCCGGAACCTTTTCGTTCCAGGCAAAGCAAGCGGTAGGCGCCTACACGCAAATCCCCACGAACCTACACACGCTCTGCGTAGCGCAATCTAGCGGTACGGCAGCAGCGTCCCCGACCGTACCGAACCTGTACTTGTTGCGGCGCAAACACGTGGCGCCAAACACGGCAAAAAAACAAGAACACGATGATACGCACAGCCTCCTTACTTGAGGACTCGCAGCGTCGCCCTCGCCCTCGCCCTCGCCCTCGTCCTCGTCCTCGTCCTGATCCTCCTCGTCTCCCTCCGCTGGGGCAGGCTCCATGCCCTTGAAAACGCGAATGTCGTCGAGAACCTTCTTGCTCGACATGTACACGTTTCCGGCCAGCGTTCCGTGGAAACCCGTGCCCACCTTTCGTGGTATCGTACGGTACGGTATCGGATGCATACGTACGTGCACAACCAAGCGAGCAAGTTCGTTTGGTGTCAAATCGGGAGTGTGGGAACAGCAGGTCTGTAAGAAAAGGTCTCGAATAGTAACCGTGCGGGCCGGCAGAGTTTCAGCTGTGCTACTTTTAACACTTTCGTATCACCAGGCGTTAGCGCAATGCCTGTCGTCTTTATCGAACACACGGCTTCCAACGGCGTTGCGAGCCTGAGGCTGCAGTTGGGTGATCAGTCATCCGCCCCGAACACTCCACTCTGGTCTCAAGCCCCAAGGACTCGTGTGGCTGTTACCATCGCCCCAAGCTGCCATTTCCAAGAGAAGCGCCGTGACGTCGAAAACCACCACCGCCTCAACACGGCCCTCTCAGACGCACATGACGACTACCATGACATGGAAACAAGTGATGAGACGTA